CACTCAAGCTTTAAACAAGAATAATTCTCTGATCTACAATTCTCGCGTCTGTCTACGATGACAGCTTGCCGGAGACTCTCTGTCAGCTGTTGTTGTTTTCTTCTTATCGATTTTCCGTCGTTCAGACAATCTTCGTTCAGTTGTCAAAATCAGCATCAGATGCCTAAGGCTCACGGACAACGGACGCTGCCACAAACCTTGTGGCTCAGACACAACAATACGTAGAGTATTGACGTCACACGGAAAATTTCGAAAATTCTAGGCCCTACGGACTCGAGTCTCTGAGGCCCCTGCTCTTGAGTCGCGCGAGCGCGTGTGAACATGTTCGAGCAGATAAGGATAATTTCGAAGATAAAAATTACTCAGCGATTGTTAGAAGACGATACCTCCGGTCTATGTCTAGCCGAATATTTTTACCTTTGTGTGCCCCCTTGCTTTCGAACTCGAAAAGTTTACAACGGGTCTTGTTACCGCGAATTGGAGATCATAGGGAAAAGAAAAGAAGTGGAGAGAAAGGAATATACAAAATTTTTATAGAATAAATTTACATTTTATTTTTGAAATTACATTCGTAGCTTTGCAAGCATTTGTAGCACTTTGCATTCGTTACAATTTCGCGTATAATTTCATTTAAATGAATCGAGGTTAATTCATAGAATACAATATTAAAGTACGAGTCTAAAAATGATAAATATTTTATTCGGCGTCGTACGTTTTCTTCGATTTCTCGATATTTAGCAGTGAGCGTCTATTTCACGAAATCTTCGTTTATATCTTTCTTCGGGAGATTAAACTCTATCTCGGATATTAAAATACACTTACAATTATTAACAAGAGTTGCAACCGATTGTAAGTGCTCGTATCTAACGTCGATACATTTCACGATAGTTTCCAGACCATCGAAAGAAGTCTTTTGCATTACAATATTTTCCGTGTATAATTTACGCATCTTCAACGGCGGCTGCTTCAAATGTGTAGAGCCCTCCGATGCCTTCTTCACAGACCCGCTTTTGTCCTCCATTTTTCCTCGTTGTCTCACCATTATAGCTCGTGCACCGTACGCAAAGGTAAAGCTGATGATGATGTCGTTAATGATGATAGGGGTTAACATATTCTTATTTTCCCCGCACAAGTAAGAATTTGCAGGGGGTATAATATCTTCAAATTTCTCCCACGTATTTCAATCAAATCAAGGAAAATTCCTGAAGTTGTGTTTTCCATTATCTTGATCGCTGGCTCGAATGTTCCCACGTTGTACATGGTGCGCAACCCAACTTGCGCCCTCTTAGTGTCCGAATTGTTAAGAGCGTAAGTCGTGCATAGAAGCATATTGTGTTCGTTTCTTACTTCTGTAGAGGCTATTCGATGTCTTCTTAAGATCAGCGTTCACGTTAGCGACGGACATTATTCTTGCAAGAACTTTTAACTCACACAAGAACTAGCTATGCAGCGAGTAGAAGCAACGAAGCTTCCGCGGTGGCCCCGCTAGCTCATATCCGCGGAAGCGCCACGTTGAATAAGCTTTTTCACGTGGCGCTCGTGGCCGCGGGAATAGCTTATTTTAGCGCAGCTAGCGATATTAGCTTGTCAGCGCGAAGCTGTGAGCTAATAATCGTTCAATGAGCTCGTACGAGCGAACGTTTGTGAAAGGGACAGCTTCTAACGATACAGTTTGCTAAGATTTTATTGTGATTCGAGGGAGCGTATTCAAGGATAGAAATACATATATATTTATAAGTGAATTTATTTCATTATTTTTGCAAAATAATTATTTTAATATTATATACATACGGTTTATACAAAAGTTTTCCTGCTAAACTACTGTGTACGCAATATACAGATAAGTCATTATTGAGAGAAAACAGTCGTATATTTTTACACAGAATACTTAACTCTATATTTACATTTATACATTTTTCTTATTCTCTAGAAATAAATGTTCAGATTCGATGGAGGAGAAGGATCAACCCGTTATTCTCTTACGACGCTACGTAGCCATATAGCAGAGAGTGTCCTGTGTTGTTGTCGAATCTACGTTTTAGAGCGATTCGGCGTACCGCATTTCACGACGTCGTAACGAGAGACGAGAGCAAGTCGTGCATGCCTGTGCTACATTTTTTATTTGCCTAATATTTTTTGAGATATTTATTAATGCAAAAGTTTTCGACATTATATGATTTACACAAAAAAATAATTAAATGATAATTATATTATAGAAGTAACAGATTATACAGATTATTGAATCATATTACGGAAATAACAATTATACAATTATACAGAATACATTCTAAAATCTATAGGGTGGTCCAGTTTAATCGACAATCGGAAATATTTCGTCAGGTAAACCAGATCGCGAAAAATGTTTCAAATAAAAGTTGTAGAGGGCTATGGGGGCACACGCTGATGACCTTGACTTTGATCTTGAGGTCAATTTTCAAGGTTATCTGAAGGTCAACTTTAATTTTTCAAATAGGAACCACTTATATTTGACTCCAAAAATGAAAAGAGCGGAAAATTTTACGTTCAAATGGGTAAATTATGATAGGAGTCCCATGACATTTAGAAGTTATTTTAAAGCCAAATTATTTTTAGCCAAATTTAAAGCCATTATTTAAAGCCAAACGTATTTTTTATCAATATTCTCAAACAAGGACCACGATGTCCAATCCACCTTCTAGGGTATTGCGTGTCTAGAAACAACCGCATATCTCTTGCATAATGCGGTGCTGCGCCATCAAGTTGGAACCACATTCTCTGCCTAATTTGAAGGTTAACATCTTCCAATAAACCAGGTAAATCATCCCTAATCAAGCGTAAATAACTTTCGCCTGTCACATTTTCTTCAAAAAAGTAGGAACCGATCAAATGACCATTTATGATTCCACACTAAATCATAAGGCTCCAACGATATTGATTGTCCATAGGTCTGTACGAGTGAGGATTGACGTCAGTAATGGCAATTATGAGTGTTCAATTCTCTGTTGTTTTTAAATGTTGCTTCATCAGGAAAAAGAGCATATCTGAAAAAATGAGGATCCTGCCGAATCATTCGTAAGGCCCATCGAAAAAAACGTAGGCGCACTCTCAAATCATCCGGTGTTAACGCTTGTGTATGATATGATATAATGCTTGAGTATGATATGATAAGCGTAATACCGCCTTGTCCTCAAAATTCTCAATACCGTTGTTTGAAATATACCCGTTTGCTTTTGTATTTAGCTGCTGCTGATGTGAGGATTTAAATGGATAATCACAAGTGCAAGAACGCGCACGTCATTTTCACCGTAATCATGACAAGGACGTCTACGAACTTGATGTCCATTACAAGCCCTTGCAGTAAAATTTAGTATTGTGGTATTATTGGGATGACGTCTGTTTGGATAATATTGTGCGTAAAGTCCTGAAGCTGCTACGAGATTTCTACCACATTCTCCTAAAATCTGAATCATATCAACAATCTCATTCGGAGGATAATCAGCCATTATTTGAAAAAAACTTTTCTGCAATTTTCTATTACTATTTCAATGTACCAGGAAAATAATGTATCAGAATTAAATAAATTTCCGCAGTTGCCATTTCTGGTATCAAAATTGGAGGTTTTCACATGAAAAAATCACATACACCTTGAAGTGACCTTAAAATTTGATCCGTAGGTCGAAGTCAAGGTCATCAGTGGGCGACCTCCTTTAATCTCTACAACTTTTGTTGAAAAGATTTTTTAGTACCTCCTTTACGTTACGAGTTGTTTGAAAGTATTGATAGAAAATATGTATTTGGCTTTAAAATAAGCTTTAAATGTCATAAAACTCCTATCATAATTTACTTATTTAAATGTAAAATTTTTTGTTCTTTTCATTTTTGGAGTAAAAAATAGTGGTTCCTATTTGAAAAATCAAAGTTGATCTTTAAATAACCTTGAAAATTGACCTCAAGATCAAAGTCAAGGTCATCAGTGTGTGTCCCCCATTAACCTCTACAACTTTTATTTGAAACATTTTTCGCGATCTGACTTACCTGACGAAATATTTCCGATTGTCGATTAAAATGGATTAACCTGTATAGTACTTGTGTACTCATGATTAAATTTATTTATCCTAAAATAAATTATTCTGTTTCTTTAATCTTCTACTGTATATCATGTCAAGGTTTTCTTGATAGTGAATTTCATAAATACATTTCTATTCAGAATAAAATTAGAATAAATGAGAACATCAGTATACAGGACGTTCAATACAAATACACCTGTAATATTCATGTATTACTACTAATATGGTGTATATTAACATAGAGCAAATGAAATTTTTTTTCGTTATTCTTTAAATCTTTCTCGCAATGTTATATAAAAAATCCTGCAAATAATAATATAGGAAATTATAATATAGGAATATAAATTATAATATAGGAATATAAACATCGTTAATGCGAGATTTATCTGAGATTAATATAAGATAATTATAGATTATATCTAACACAAAAAATTAAATTTCAATATTTATATAGCATTATATGTATTTAATAATATGTACAAGATACTTGAACTAAGAATTAAAACTCATTGTATTTGCGTTTAACTAGAAACTTGAGTCAATATATGTAACAAATCTCTATTGCTTGCGATAATTGAAGCTCAATGGAAACGTAAAATTTATGCAAGATATTGTTAAGAAAAGTAACAGCTTTTCCTGTAACGGAAAGTTTACAAATTGAATTCACCGTATATGTATTGGTTTCTTTTCTTACTACGAAATTGTTTATTTTGCATCAAATATTATATTGATAATTTATCAAAATTTAAACGTTCTTTAGTTCTACTGTGAATGTTTGTGAAGATGATAACTCTTTGAAAAACAAGTGCGCTAATTATATAACTTGGAACGAGAAATGAAAAAAAGGCTTACGTGAGATGATTTCACAATCCATCACCACTTATATCGTGAGACTTTTTGCAACATAGTGGGAACTAGGAAAATTGATAGCAGATAGATGTAAACGAGCGGACAAGTTAGACGAGGTATATCTTCGGTCGCGAAGAATTCTTGAATCCAGAAACCTGCGACTAAGGCTGTTATCAAAAATGCCAACTGTAGTGGCGATCCTCTCAATGACGCTACTAACGTTATTATCGTTAATCCTGTCACAAATACATGGGAAGGATGTTGGAGGTAGGTAATCATATATATACATGTATTTCTCTCTCTCTGTCTCTTTCTTCGACGCCGTACACTTGTTACTTTTGTTATATATGCACATTCTTCTATATTCACTTCTTTATATTGCGTAGCATGTTTCATATTATATAATTGAGATAAATTTGTTTTTACGTAGTAGTATGAGAAAATATACACAAAGGATAATTATTGAGTACAACGCATTTGAAAAAAATAACGTAACATATCTACTTATATTGCTTCATATCATTCTCACAAAAAAGTTTGTAGAATCGTAAAAATATAGTAAGGTAAATGTACCAGTTATTGGACAGTTGGACAAGGAATTACGCAATGAAATAATTTTTTTAAGTTTACTAGATTCTAAACTTTTAATTTATTATGAATACCTGGTATGAACGGATGTTTCCTTGAACTAATTTCATTATTCAATATATTATTTGTGTTAATTGTAAATTATTTTTACCCATAAATATGATTTGCGTTATATGTCCTAATTATTGGACAAAGAAATGTGACGTGTCGCTGTGTCCACAAACATATTACCCAATTATTGGACAAATGATGAGCGATTCTTTATTATAAAAAACAAATCATACTCTAATTGTCAGAATTGAAAAACATTTATGAAATCGTAATTAGTAAAGCATTTAATGAAATTTTATTTATAACATGTAGAAAATTTGATTTTCTTGTTTCTTTTTACAGTGAAAGACAAAATATTCTTCTTTGGTTAATATTTAAATTGTAAAATACTAGCAATATTTTAATTATAGTTTGTTATTCTATTTTAAGTTTTTTTTTACATTTTTAATAGAAATAGTATTTTTCATCAATTTTTTATTTTCTGCAACTCGTTTCTTTTTAGCTTTTTCCTTTGCTTTCTCTTTTTGAATTCGTTTTCTTGCTTCTCTTTTATCTTCTAACTCTTTCTGCTTGGATAACTTTTCTTCTTTCTTCTTTTTTTGATATTTATCCTATTCATCTGATGTCACGACAGAAGGAATTTTCTCTTTTCGGTGCATTTTTCGGAAAGTTGGTGGTTTTATAGGCCATATGAAAATTTCCTTAAAAAATGCTTCTCCTTCATTTCCAATGTCCTTTCTATGAGATATATCTTCCGATTTTAAATTTTCTTTTAAATATTAAAAAAAAGAATTTTATTATTCAAATCTTAATTTCAAACAATATGTAAGAAATATTTAAATTTTAGCTTACTGTTAGAAATGTTAATAGAACCTATCTCGTTTTGTATAATTTGTGACGTCGATTCAGAAAATACTTCCACATTAAGCTTTTCAATAATTGCATCTTCATTTAGTAAGTTAGGAAAGATCTCATTAGAGGAATGAGGGATTTCTATAATCTCGATGTTTTCGGGAATATCGCTGGTATTTAAAGAAAGATTTGTTTCATCTTGGTTTAAAGGTAAAATAATATCAAATAAAAGTGATTCAGTCGTATCATTTCCTAAAATATCTGCAGAGTCATTGTTTGTCGAAATATCGTGAACTTCTGTTTCATTTCCTAAATAACAGAATATAAAAAAGCGTAAAAAATCTGTCAATAATAGTCACACAATATTTTATCAAAAAAATTTTTAAGATTTATTTAAATAAAATTACCGGCTAATTGTTTTATATTGAACCAGTATTTATATAATCCGTCATTAGTAAGATCGATAGAGAGGCTTTGTAATCCTAATTTTTTATATTCTTTGAAAGAGGAAAGAACATCGGTTGATAGATTTTTTTCGAAAAAAATTAGATGTTTTTGGAATTTTTCTTTTTCATCATTGTTGCCATTCCTATTATCCTCGTTACTAATTGACTCTTTGCCGAAATTTATTACACCAAGCTTATTATAAGGGACAGTATCGAGATCTAATGGAAATAGACCGCATACTTGGAAAGCGTTCTTTGCAATAGATTGGAAATTCATGGAATCAGTCGTCTTTTTAAGTAAAGGAGCAAAATTGGATTTTTTAAATTTGATGTTGGGTTATTGAAATTTCCATTCATTTACAACTCGTAACCAATTCTTCTTTAAACAGCCAAAGAATCCGACGTGCAGTCTAGTGGCTGAAGAATGTGAGTCGCATTGGGGGGTAATGCAGTCACTTCTATATTCTTATCGCGACAAAATTCTGAGAGTGGCATAGTAAGATGTGAACTGTATCCATCCAAGTACAGAATGATTGGTAATTTTACCTTATTTTTTAATAACCACGGGTAAAATATATTTGCGATATACTCGTAGAAACTTTTAGATGTCATCCAACCTTTCTCTGTACACCCAAAGCTGCACTCTACAAAAATACGCTTTTAATTAAATTATTATTATTTGTTGTTAATTGTTGAATAAATAAAAAATAATGATTGAATGCAAAGGATAGAAGAAACATTTTTTTAACAAATTTAATTTAACAAATAAAACTAATAAGAAGTGAAGTAATAAGAAGTGAAGAATTAACCTTTAGGTATTTGGCTCGAAATTTCGGATGGCATTTGTGAGTACTAATACAAAATCATTGGTGGTGGGATATCTCCAGCGGCACTCACGATATATAAAACGGTTAAACTTTCTTTATCATTGCCATCCGTAACTTTGTGAACCACTTTTGATCCTTTTCTAACAAGAACACAGTCTCCACTTGGATTTAAGAAAAAGCACTTTCGTCACAATTAAATATACGTGATGAATCGACGTCGATAAGATTTTTGAGTTCCAAATGATTTCGTATTTCAGCGAACCAAGCTTGTATCTTTCCTTCTGTTGCCTTATTACGAGCATCGCTTAAATTTTGGCTCATCTGTTCCGAAATACGAGGATGACGTTTTAAAAAGCTATCGAACTAGTGTCTTCCTGGTCGGTTATCTTTAAATGGAGAAGTTCTTTTACTGATATTGAGGTAGAGTAGAGAGTTTCACGTTGTCTAAAAGTTGTATTTTTGTTACTGGACATTTTGCATCGAAACGTTCTAAAATCCACATAGCAATTTTGTTCTCTTCCTCGACAGATAAAAATGATTTTGGTCCTGGTCGAATAATTATCGTTTCACGATTACTTCGGTTTTTTATAAATAAAGTGCTCTTAGGAATATTGTACTGTCGTGATGCTTCTCTCAAAGTTGTACCTTTTTGCATTGATCTTAAAGCGTTATCAAGGTCAACCTGACTATATTTACATCTTTGACGTTTTCCTGCTTTTATTCGCTTTTTATTTTCTATTAATTTTGCCTTTAACAAAAAGAGAAATAGAGTTTATTATATTAATTGACGTAACCTGAGATTATGTTAAGGTTATGTTAAGGTTATGTTTCGAAAAATTATTCGAAATTCTTATTATACACCAACTAAAATCGTTTGTTCTTAAATCAAACAATGACTTGTATTGCAATTATTAAATATCATTAAATATTAATATAAATATTATTAAATATCAATTAACTTATCATACTTTCATCAAGTCTTTATTGCTTCTTGTTTGCTATTAAACACTACGGCCACAATTCGCTTGCCTGTCCAATGACTAGTACAAGCATCAAACTGCGTTGCGCTTATTTTTGGACAATCGTCCATTCACTAGGACATTCATATGTACGCATGTACCACTTATTGAACATTCTATTCTTATTAATTTTAATAAATAATTATATACTATTTATTCAATTTTACATTCGGAACTACTCATTATTTTATATTTTAAATTTATATATTGTGCATCCAATAAAATATCTAAATTCGAAGTAATTAAATGCTTAAGAAAAATAACTCTAGTCTTAAAGCTTTTGCTTCGACACCGACATGTTTTACTCATTGCCGTCATCACATTATTTTTGAAAAATCTTTTTAAAGATGTACCATTTTCAATATGAATAAGTTATGAAGCAATTAATTTCTAAATAATATGAAAAATTAGAACAAATTTATTTAAATTCATAAATATTACCAAACGCTTAATATTTAAAATTTATGTCATTTCGTCCAATAATTCGGCCATGTCCACTAATTGGTACATTTACCTTATACATGGATGAAGTTGACATTCGATATTCTTTATTTTCGCTGCGAAATTTTAATATTGAACTGAAGTATTTTATATTAAGAATTTATTTTAATTGAAGTATTTACATTCAGTTTTGACATTACATATTAAAACAAAAACAATATTTAAAAAAATTAATGTTACCAGAAAAATATTTTTTAAAAATAAAAATTTTAGTTAGTGAAAAATAAATAAAGTTTTATTCCATTGCAAAATCTGAATTTTTAATTAAAATAAAATTTTATTTTGATTCACAATATCATCAATTAAAATAATTATTTACATAGTTGAAATAAATCTTTGTGATAAAACCAAAAATCAAAAGAACTGATTAAAAAATATATTTTTTTATTAACACAGTATTTATTTCATAAGAAAGTTATTTCGTAAGAAAGTTAAGTTGTAAAGCGAGATAACAATTTTCTTATAAGCATACAAACCGGTAATTATTTTGTTTTATTTATTTATTATTTAATTTAATATTATTCTATGGAATCGCACAATTTTTTTAATGTGTAATGTTATTACTATTATTATTATTAGGGACTGTTGTCGACAAATACTTTTTATAAAGTGATAATTGTTAAAAAAATAAGGTTATATACATGGCAGCGACTGTCAAAACGTTAAAAGTAAGTTTTTTTTAAAATTCGTTAATGATACTTTTGTAATTTCCAGAAAGGTGTACGATTAGCAATTCAAGCAGGTTCTTGACGTCAGGTGTATGCAAGCTCCTGGAAGACTGTCCGCCAGTTTGCGACGCATTGTTAGCCGGAAACTTACCCATTACATGCGGATTTATAGATTTTCAACCGATAGTTTGTTGCCCGACAAACAATGAAAACGGAAAGGATATCACCACGAAAAGGATAATGTCAAAACTAACCATAAGCTCCACCGAAAGAATAAGCACGCCGCGGACTTTGATATTTGACAACAGCAGAGGATCATTAGCGCGAGCAAGTAATTCTAATTTATTTCTAAATAGAAGATAGATAATTAACCCCTTGACTATGGGTGACGCGTATACGCACATGAAAAGGTCATGTCACTGGTGTGGGTGACGCGTGTACGCGCATCGAAGAGAAAAAATAGTAAAGTTATTGTTATTTGCGTAGGTATCTAGGTGTACGATTCTAGGGTCACTGAATCCGAATTTGATATCAAATTTCAGAATTCAAAACGGCAAATCTAATATGGAATGTAAGAATTTTGAAAATAATCGGATTTTCATGAAAATGGATATCTATAGGCTTTTGACTTCATTTTTATATCTTTCTATTTTTATAGTTTTTAATTTTTCGGGAATTTTAATAATTTTTAATTTTTTCTGTTTTTATAATTTATAATTTTTATTTGTTCTTATAATTTTTAATTTTTTTTGTTTATATAACTTTTAATTTCTTTATTTTCATAATTTTTATTTTTAACGCTAGTTGAAGTCCGGATTCGACAAAATAGTATTTTCTTTATTGATATATTGATATTTATTAGTATTTTTGTGTTCTTAAAATTCACATTTAAAACGTTTACTTCATCATTTTGAATTTTGAAATTTTGATGTCAAATTTGGATTCAGCAGCCCCAAAAACTTTTATAATAATGTCATAAAAAAATTCGACATTTTTTTCTAAAAATGGCACGACTAATCCATTTCTACCTCCACAGTTAAGAAGTTAAGAAAATATCATGTATATCCTGGTTTTCAAAATAATTTGAATATCTTCTTTGAGGTGCAGTTTTGATAACTGATGGTCCAATAAGATTGCAATTTATTTATAGAAAATTTTTACAGATTAGGTTCTTTCTCTTATTGGACATCTTCCATGTTTCAAATGCAGTGAGGAAAATATTCCGACTTTTGGAAACATAATGCATACATCTAATCATCTAATGGATTCATCAATATGAAATTTAGAAGAAATAAGTTTCAATTCTTAAATAAAATTAGTAATTAGATAGAAGCATTCATCGAAATAAAAAAATGTATAGCAGTTAACAAATTTTGCGTTATAATTTATACTTTTACAAATTTTTATATTTTCCAATCGTATTTACATCTTAAGACAGAAAATAACAGTGAAAATATTTATTTAGCTTTAATTTAGTTTTAATTTAATTTAAAAACAAAACTGCAAAGAGTTTTTTACTCAGTTTGATGAATTCTTCTCGCGTACGAGTGGACGTGTGCATGTGTGTAATAACATATCACTCAATAAGTTCGTAGGATGACTAATAAAACAACAACTTTTAGGCAAAATTTGACTTTATTCATCTATATAGTCTCCTTTAAGAGTAATAATTGATTCCAACGCTTCTCTAACATTTCGATGCCTTTTTTGTAGAACGATTTATCTTTGGCCTCAAAATAGGCTTCAGTTTCGGCAATCACTTCTTCATTTGAACCAAATCTCTTTCCCTGGAGCATTCTTTTTAGGCCTGCAAACAGGTAGTAGTCGCTGGGAGTCAGATCCGGAGAATACGGTGGATGGGGAAACAATTGAAAGTGCAATTCGTGCAATTTTGTCATTGTTGCGAGCAACTTGTGACACGGTGCATTATCCTGGTGAAAGAGCACTTTTTCTTCTTCATTTGAGGTTGTTTCTTCGCAATTTCTTCCTTCAAACGCCAATAACGCCATATAATATTCAGTATTGATGGTTCTTCCTTTCTCAAGGTAATCAATGAATAAAATATCTTGCGGATCCCAAAATACGGAGGCCAAAACCTTACCAGCTGACATTTGCGTTTTTGGTCGCTTTGGGCGGGTTTCGCCGGTTGTTGTCCACTTAGCTGACTGCCGATTTGACTCTGGAGTGTAGTGATGGATCCATGTTTCATCCATTGTCACATACCGCATCAAAAAATCATTTTTATTGCGCTGAAACAGCTTCAAACAGCCCACTGAATCGTCGACGCGTTGCTATTTTTGACTGACTATGAGCAAACGCGTTACCAACTTCGAACAGAGCATCCTCATGGACAAATGTTCATGCAAAATGGTGAATACACTACCTTCTGATATCTTTAAGGTGTCGGCTATTTCACGTAACTTCAATTTACGATCGGCCAAAACTATTTTGTGGACTTCTTTTATGTTTTCTGGAATAACTGTCGAATTTGGGCGACCAGAGCGTTCAGCGTCATCGGTATTTGTACGGCCGCCTTTAAAATCAGCAAACCACTTCTCTACCATTTGTCTCGGCTGGACCAGAGTCCGAATAACACTTGTCAAGCCATTGCTTTGCTTGAACAGTATTCTTTCGCATTAAAAAGCAATGCTTTATTAACACACGAAACTGAGATTTTTCCATTGTTTTCAAAATTAAAGCAGTAGCGTCACTAAAACCACTGTAACTTGTGAACTAAGCGTCCGATTGTCATGAAATTTTAATACGTATCATTTGAAGGTTAGTACTTCCTAAAAATCATATGGATTGTCAATATGGTAGCGCCATCTATATGTTATCCTACGAACTTATTGAGTAATGTGTTATATGTGACCATTGTACAGAGTGTTATGTATGTAAAGGACGCATTTTAAGGGCAGATAATATTCATAAAATGGAAGATTAAAGTCCCGAAATAAGTCGAAAAATTAATATTGCCGGAGTTATAAATAATTATTTATTTTAATTAAAGCAAGTGACTTACTCGCTTCTGATGTACAGCCATAAACGAAATGCATTTCTGCCATTTTTTTATTAGAATAATGCGGTGTCATTCTTACCATATTGTGAAAGCACAAAAGCATCAGAAGTGAGTAATTTGTTTTAATTAAAATAAATTGTTCATAACAACAATATTAATACAATTATAATATATAATAATACTAATTTTATCGGTAATATTAATTTTTCGATCCATATTTATTAAAACATTTTTCTTCTATTTTATGAGTATTAACGCACTTTTATTTCATAGAAAATGCTTTATATAATAAAATAAATATAATCTTTGAGTTATAATTTTTGTAAGTGATGACTATATATATTATATATTTATTTGAACGTAATTTCTTTGTATAGAATGTACGGAGAATGTGGAAGCTGGAGCATTTACAATAGTCGATTCTACGAACGGATCAACATACGCCGATTTACTGAATTTGCGCAGATTGATCGTCGGAGGTACAAAAGCTGAGCCAAAAGAATTTCCGCACATGGTAGCTATCGGATTTGAAAATGAACAGAATGAAATACTGTGGCTATGTGGTGGTAGCTTGATTTCCGACAGAGTGGTACTGACAGCAGCCCATTGTACTTATAGCCAAGACTGGTATGTCAAAGTATACAAATATATAAGGCGATTTTCGGCGATTCTTTGATACAGGGTGGTAGAAAAATCAGGAAACGGTCAAATATCTTGAAAACGAAACGTTTCTGAGAAAAATCTTTCCAACCAAAGTTGTAGAGTTTTTAAAATTCTATTGAATGGTTATATCCGTTTGACCTTGGGTGGAGGGGTCAAAGCGAGGTCAAGGCCAACGTGATTTATTTAAATAGAATACCCCACTTTTTATCATACAGCGTTAAAGATAATAGCGAGACGTTTCCAAAACACTACTTGATGACCTACTTTTGTTGAGAATTGTCTGAGTTATGAGCTTTAGAATTTACGGTGCCGCCAGCATTAGTATTATCCAGTATGTACCGCGTAGAGGTTGCATGGTCGGACTTTACACCCCTGTATGTGTGTGTGTTGTGTGTCAGCGAAGATAAGGACCCCGCGGTTCGTCACTCCCGCAATATTTAATAGCTCCAAATTTTCTCTGCTGTGTATGTATGTGTGTGTGTGTGTGTATACGTAAGAATAAGGATGAACTCCTACAAATGATTTGTAAGTCTGATGACAATTTACAAATAATTTATTACAATGTATATGCAACGAAACCTACTAACTTGGCAGACCTTAAGGAACGCATACTACATCAAGTAAATCTTATCTCACCAGAAATGAGATGAAACGTTTTAAATGAATTTCATCTACGATTAGGTCATTGTCAAGCAGCAGACAGAAGACAATTTGAACACTTAATTCAGTAAACACCCGTCTACATACACACGCACGCGTGCGCGGGCGCACACACACACACACAGCAGAGAGGGTTTGGAGTCATTAAATACTGCGGGAGTGACGAACTGCGGGGTCCTTATCTTCGCTGATATACACACACACACGCACGCACGCACGCACACGCACGCACGCACAGGGATGTAAAGTCTGACCATGCAACCTCCACGCGGTACATCCTGGATACGAGGGTAGTCCCAGAAATACCTGACCTGACATATAGATAGCGAGTGTTGTTTGAAAAGAATGACTATGGTAGAAAGTACCAACCTTATAAAGCTTAAGTTTGAAATTTGACGACGCTACGTTGTTTAGTATTTGTTTGGCAGCCATCAATAGTGAACACTCTCAGTGAATTTGTAAACATGGAAAAAATTAGTCATCGTTATGTGATACAATACTTTCATTTGAAAGGCCTCAATCCAACCAATATCAAAGCGAAGCTAGATTCTACTCTGAGGAAGTCTGCTCCTTCGTTTACAACAGTAAAATATTTGGTGGCAGAGTTTAAACGAGGCCGTACAAGCTGCCAAGACGAACATCGCAGTAGTCGACCAAATGAGGTGACCGCGCCAGAAATGATGAAGAAAATCCACAAAATGATATTGGATGACCGTCGAATGAAAGTGCGCGAGTTAGCAGACAGGTTAGACATTTCAAAAAGTGCTGTACATCGCATATTGACTGAAAATTTGGACATGAGAAAGCTATGCGCAAGATGAGTGCCGCGATTGGAACAAAAACAGCGTTGTGAGGATGTTTCAATCGAGTGTTTGGCGAAGTTTTGCAGCAATAAAGCCGAGTTTTTGCGTCGATTCATAACCATGGATGAAACATGGGTCCATCACTTCACACCTAAGACGAAGGAACAGTCAAAACAATGGACCAAGGTAGCTTGATGGCTATTTTGAGGAGCTCAACGATTCCCACTATAAACAGGGTATCGAAGCTATTGAACATCGCTGGGAAAAGTGTATTGAGCTAAAAGGAGGCTATGTAGAGAAATAAAGATATTTTTTCCCAAATTTTTTGTGTTTTTTTTGTTAGGTCAGGTACTTCTGGGACTACCCTCGTAATATTATTCCTGACGGCACCGTAAATTCTAAAGCTCATAACTCAGACAATTCTCACCAAAAATAGGTCAAGTAGTGTTTTGGAAACACTATGCGTCTCGCTGTCATCTTTAACACTATGTGATAAAAAGTGGGATATTCCATTTAAAAAAATCATGTTGGCCTTGACTTCGCCTTGACCCCTCCACCCAAGGTCAAACGGATACGATCATTCAATAAAATTTTTAAAACCTTATAACTTTGGTTGGAGAGATTTTTCTCAGAAACGTTTTGTTTTCAAGATATTTGACTGTTTCCTGACTTTCCTAACATCCTGTATATATAGGGTGTTTCATTTTAAACAATATGGTCGATTATTTCGCGAATCGATGATTTTATTGAAAAATTTTTCGAACGAAAGTTGCATGGCTTTAAGGGGGATACATGATCAAAATGTGGACTTAACCTTGAGTGACCTTGTCAAAATCAGGTCAAGGCCATTAATGTTTTTTTAAATGGAAATCCCTATTTTTTATTACATATTGTAGCTTATCTCAAGAGCTTTCCAAAACACTATAATAAAGTTACGTTTCATTGAATACTTTCCGAGTTATGAGGCTTGAAAGTTAAGGCAAGACCGATCATTGTTCCGGCCAACTAAGGCAAGACCGATCACTAATCCGGATCACTGATCACAGATTAGTGATTGGTCTTGCCTTAGTTGGCCGGAACAATGATTAGTCTTGCCTTAGTTGACCGGATCAGTGATCGGTCTTGCCTTAACTTTCAAGCCTCATAACTCGGAAAGTATTCAATGAAACGTAACTTTATTATAGTGTTTTGGAAAGCTCTTGAGATAAGCTACAATATGTAATAAAAAATAGGGATTTCCATTTAAAAAAACATTAATGACCTTGACCTGATTTTGACAAGGTCACTCAAGGTTAAGTCCACATTTTGATCAGGTGTCCCCCTTCAAGCTATGCAACTTTCGTTCGAAAAGTTTTTCAATAAAATCATCGATTCGCGAGATAATCGACCATATCATTCAAAATAAAACACTCTGTGTATATATATCAAGGTTGATATTGGTAGAGGCGGAGCTTATTTTGATATGTGTACTACTATCATGTACTACTGCTAACGCTAAAATGTGTATTTTAGTATAACATATATCAAAAATTGCCTATAATATTATACAGGGTGAAGAAAAAACCCCGGGACCACTGAAAATTTCGAAAAATATACACTTTATAAAAAAATGTTTCAGACAAAAGTCGTAGCGTTGAAAAGGATCTATTTACCGATCTTAACAATTTGACCTTGGGTGGCGTCATCAAGGTCAGGATAAGGTCACCTCGTATGTTTTAAATAGAACTCCCAATTTTTTATTGCATATTCTTGTAGCCCTTCTTCAGACCTTTTCAAAGCACTATAGTTCTATTCAATTTGAATAAGCTGTTCCGAAGTTATCGAGTTTTTTAAAGTAAGGTATCTAGCCAACTAAGGCAAGATCGGAGGATGATCCGGCCAATTAAGACAAGGTCGGAGTGATCGAGCCAACTAAGACAAGATCGGAGGATGATCTAGCCAACTCATAAAAATAATTGTGCGACTAACTTCCAGGCGTTGGCTCCTATTGGCTTGTCTTAATTTCGTTAATTGATTTATTTCAGTTATTTATTTATTTGAACTATTCTGCTGTTCGATGTTTATTTCTTCCATTTACTCATTTAATACTCATTACAGTTTAGTGAATCGCAAACTCGACTGAAATTCCTCTATTTTTTTGAAAATTATTAAGAAACAGTTTGAAGCTAGTTGTAAGCTGACTTAAATGCGCTTCATTCTGTGCTCATTATTATTCTTCAGCACTGTGTTTAGAATAACTTTGAATTGATCCAAATATTAATTTAGTCGATTAGACTAAATCTTACCACTTCTGCTTGTCAATATGGCAAGTCTTTCAGAACGAGAACGCATATCTCTTTTGATGATGAGAAGATGGGATGATCGACTAAGATCGTACAATGATGTGAGGTGGCTTTTTAATGAAACTTTTCGTAATCAGGGTAATGCCATTTCAAAATCTACCGTTGAAAGAACGATAAGGCATTTTCAGGAAACTGGAAGTGTGAAAAATCGTGCAATACCAGGTAGGCCAGTATCAGCAACAAGTGTAGAAAAATCATTAGATGTTCTACAATCCTTTATCGAAAATCCGCATGATTCGACCCGCAAAGTAGGACAGCAACATGAAATAGATCAAATGTCTGTGCTTAAAATATTGAAAATGAATAAATTTCATCCTTATAAGATCCATTTTGTACAAGAGCTAAATGAAGATGATTTTGATAGTCGCATTGAATTTTGTGATTTGATGATGGAAAAAATAGCCGAAGATCCTAACTATCTATCAAATGTAATATTTTCAGATGAGGCAACATTTCAGTTAAATGTCGTTAATCGACACAATTGTAGATTTTGGTCAGATACAAATCCTCACTGGATTGAAGAAACACACACGCAGTATCCACAAAAAGTGAATGTTTGGGTAGGCATTTTGAATAATGTTCTCATAGGTCCACTCTTTATTGATGGAAATTTAACAGCAATAAAATATAAGAATATGCTAAGAGAATATGCTAAGAAGAAATAGTTCCAGCGATACAAGCAATTATGGATGACAACTTCGAGCATACATGGTTCCAACAAGATGGTGCCCCCCCCCCACATTACGGAAGGACGTCCGTAATTATCTGGTGTTACAGTGTTTCCTCATCGATGGATAGGTAGAAAAGGACCTATAGAATGGCCTCCTCGATCACCCAATTTATCACCTAACGATTACTTCCTGTGGGGCCATTTAAAAGATAGAGTTTACAAAACGAAACTACAAAATTTGGATGACTTACGAAATCGAATTCTTGATGAAGCTGCTCTCATCCCTGCTGATTACATTCAAAAGCCGTTTCATCTTTTTACGATAGATTAGCTTATTGTCAAACTGTTGATGGCGGACATTTTGAACAATTACTTTAAAGCTTTCCAGTATTGCCTTAGTTGGCCGGACAACTCCCGACCTTGCCTTAGTTGGCCGAATCATCCTCTGATCTTGCCTTAGTTGGCCGGATCATCCTACGATCTTGCCTTAGTTGGCTGGATCATCCTCCGATCTTGCCTTAGTTGGCTAGATATCTTACTTTAAAAAACTCGATAACTTCGGAATAGCTTATTCAAATTAGATAAAACCATAGTGCTTTGAAAAGGTCTGAAGAAGGGCTATAATAATACGTAATAAAAAATTGGGGGCTCCATTTAAAAAATCCAAGGTAACTTTGTCCTGACCTTGATGACGCCATCCAAAGTCAAATTGTTAAGATCAAAAAATAGATCTTTTTCAACGCTACGACTTTTGTCTGAAACTGAAGTTTTTTATAAAGTGTATATTTTTCGAAATTTTCAGGGGTCCCGGGGTTTTTTTTCACCCTGTATATCTTGTAAGTCATCCTTCCCCTTTTCTAAATCTCAATATATCTACCTTGATATATTTCATCCGATTTAAAGGGGAGTCGCGAAGTGGGCACGAATCGGTGACTTGAATCTAGCGCGGATGAATGATAATGCAAGGCCGCAAACCATCAGAATTGTCGAAAGAATATCGCATCCTGATTATAAAATCCCGTCGGTATACCACGACATAGCCATAATAAAGTTGGAAACCCCGGTTACTTATACCATGTGGGCCAGGCCGGCATGTCTTCCGGTTGACTTACCTGATACTGGTTATGGTGACACAGCAGTTGCTACTGGATGGGGACGTCTTGATTGGGGTAAGAGATAACAATAAAGCTTTCTTATGTGGTCTATGTGATCGAAAACAGGAATTATGTACATTTTTTATATGATCATGACATACAAAATTTATACTTTAATTAATTAACAATTAAATGCATATGACTTTGTCAATTATGATTGGAGTAGCATCGAGTTAATTAAACTGTGTTTATAATGAGTGCACTTAATTATAATTACATGATTCTGAAAAAAAAATATGATATCGAGGGAGCTTGTAACCGTGTCGCCGAGTGGCGGATAAGGGAACGCTTGCCAAACTTGCATGGAGAGTGGAGATGAAATAAAGTGGTCTCCGCGGACCAACAGGTAGTCACTAACCCGTTCGGAAAGCATGGTGACTTAACTGCCAACTCCTTCCATATACAAAATGTCGGATTTTTAAATAAAATTACCCCAGGCGAATAAAGCGCGAAGCTCCGAATCTCGCACTGATTCGTCAGTCTGCCTCAAGGATTCTGGAGGAGATAAATTCGATGGAAAGAAAAACAAGAAACGGTCCCAGTACGAAATTATTGTTTGCAATATATAACATTCGCACCATGCAACGAGAGAAGCATCTTTAGGAGCTGGAACATATCAAGCTGCAGCATATTCAGGGGGGCATTCTGGGAGTCTATGAGACATGTTTGGAAGGTGAGGCTGCGACGACGGTATCCAGGTCTGAACATTTACTATTCCAAAACAATAATAAAGCCAGCTGACATATCGGGGGAATGACGATAATAGTGAATAGATATCTAAAACGTCTATAAAATATGTGCTATGTCAGAGAGAATGATCTACGTCATGGTCAAATTAAACGACAGATGCAGGTGATACAGGTTTACACACCAATTGGCGCTACTGAGAATGAGTAAGGGCTACGAAGAGGGCTGAGAGAGCTAAATTTGTTGTTATAATGGGATACTTTAATGCGAAGATAGGCAACAAAACGACAGACCAGGTGAACATAGGGCCATTTAACCTAGGTACTAGGAACGAACAAGATAAAATAATGCTAGCCTATCCTGAGCACCTGTTCTGAGGACCTGTTCTGCATGAATACGCTCTTCAAGAAGCCAGCTCAAAGCAAGTGGACATGGAGAATCATAGAGATCACGCAAGAAGACAGAGGGCTGAGGAAGAATACATAATCATAATATACATTCGTTTACACCAAAGTTTGAATATACTTTTTCCGATAAAAAATCAAGAACACAATAAATAAACATCAATTGCGAACCACTGCTTACATGGCTAGTGATTGATTTGCATAATAAGTAATCAATTTTATGATAGAAGTCTTAAAATGACAGCACATAGTGCGAATGTTGATCTTTTATTATAATTTTATCTAGTATATTTTTACTACTATAGTTTTATCTAAAAGTATTACAAATATTTGGGTTTTTCTCTGAATCTCTTACTGCAATTGTAACGTTGCATATTATCACTTATATTTCATATATTGTCACTAAGAGTGTCACTAAGAGCAAAAGCTAATTATATGTATAACGGATTATCGTGCAGGTTGTTTTGTAGCTCATAATTATGACTATTCATTACGCTTTTTATAATACTTCATCGGAAAAAATTGTTGTACAATTATTGAAACGAATGTATGCTTGATATCAAAATGGTTTGGATATTTCTTCTGATGCAACTTTAAATATAATCTGATAATCTAACAAAAGAATCTAACAAGGGAAACTGTTTTGGTTCAATTGTCAAAAGTTAAGTTCTGTCATCGGACCATCAGCTGTATGTTCTAAACTGTATTGAGGAAAGTGCTCAAACTGTAAAACACAAAATATATAAGAAATTTGCCAACAGTTTACGAGATATTTAATATTTTGTACTGGAAAGTATATAATATAAGATAAAAAATACAAAACAGCTCGAAAATATTTATTTTTTTATAATTTTACTTTAGCATTTTTACATATGGAATATACTACAGGAATTGATTTATGTTAAAAAAATACATATATTTGTTTATTTATTTATTTATTATATAGAATATATTTATATGAATATATATATATATATGTGCGTGCATATAAGATGGTCAACTTAAGAAAAAAATAGGATTAAATATTATATTATAATAGGAATCTTTGTTGTGAATTTTTGAATAACTGTAATTTTATATTGCTTTGTGCTACAGCCGACGAACAAAACTCCGACAATTTGCAGAAAGTGACGCTCAGTTTAGTTCCGCAGTACTCTTGCAATGAGAGCTTTTTCGATGGCAGTCCTCAGCTTGCACGAGGTATTATTGACGAATGGCAAATATGTGCAGGAGAAGAAGGAAAAGATACTTGTCAGGTAATATATCGATTCCTGTTTCGAGTCGAGAATATTTATCTAATAATATGTAAATTATTCTTTCTTTTCAAAATTGTTTCCCCACAACCGATGGTTATTACAATATTTTATTATCATTTCTGGATCCAAATCTAGATTAAACAAAATAATCAGTTATACTATTTGATCAATATCAGATGACGTTGGGACAGAAAAGTATCGAAAGATCAAAAAATCCAAAAAAATCTAAACAATAGTTGCTATCATCCGTGCAAAAATAAAAAGTTTCAATTTTATATTTCACTCGAAGCTAATATATTTTGTGTAATATGTTACATGTTTGTTAGGGTGACAGCGGAGGACCATTGGTTGTTTTTAACACAGTTCATAGCCATATGTATAACATCATTGGTATTACGAGTGTAGGACATCTGTGCGGGAGCATCATACCTGGTGTGTACACTCGAGTATATCACTATATCCCCTGGATTGAAAGAGTGGCATGGCCGGAGTATTTCAAAAATAATTAGTAAAATTAAGAGTTAACTTTTAAGTATATTTAATTTTTATATGTAATTCATAATAATATTTTTGTCTTCATAAAAATTATTTTTCTCTTTATAATCTTAATCCAATTCTCCTCTTATTTTAATCCCAGTTATATAGAGTGTTTGGTACAACATGTACATCTGCTCGTAGATAGAAATTATAAAGCAAAAATGTGTTTTATCATGTTATAAACAACTATTAATTATTAAGATAATTATTAAGATATTAAATATTAAGAGTATGTAAAACTTTCCAACGTTTTTAAGGCAATCTAAGTTCTTCTATTAATATTATTTTAAATGACATAATATCTTCAATCAAAATATTTTCCGGCATTATCTATTACTTTTTGCCATCTTTCAGGCAGAAGATGGACGCGATGAAAGAAGTCCTTGCTCTTAGAATGAATGAAGTTATCGATGAATTGTGTGTTCCTTCCTACATTGCGAAATTGTGTGTTAGAAGGACTGTGCTACATAGAACGAAATAAATGAATAGTTGTTAAATAGTAATAGCTAATTTCAGCAAGTTCTTGATGGTCACTCTATATATATTAAAATATAACGATGAAAGAGAAAAATTAGAATTAATGGTAAAACCAGAGTCGCCCGTCTAATTAATAACAACGTAATAAATTTCTCATAAATCTTTCTCTAATATTCTCTAAATTTCTTGCAGTGTGAGAAGCAGAGTGGCAGCCAAGTCATTCGAATTGGAGAAATGTTCCCATCGAAATGAATTCTTCACTCTGAATTGTTGTGTAAATATCCTCACTAGAAATTGAAGAATGAATTTGATATTTCCCGTCAAACAGTATTTACAAACAAATTCATTCTAATCGATTGAAACATATTATTCATATTCATATCGATTGAAATATATTATTCTTATTTATACTGAGCTTAAATTCATTTTAAACTCGAATGAAACACTATTATGATTACGATACTGGTAATATTTTCACTATCGCGTGACTTCACGTGAGTTTTCCTTCGTCTTGAGTGAGATTTTACACCACGAAGTTTATAGTGATTTTTAATACGCGTTTGGGTCGACTCGAACAACCGCTTCCACTAATCGTCAATGATCATGACATACTTTCTTTAAGGTTTCCTAAATTCATACGTTCTAATTTTTATAACCTTGCAATGTCAAATGCATGATCAACAGTTGAATCATGCAAATAAAGTTAATACACAGCATTAAAAAATCAACCAATAATATTTTGTTTGCTATAAGAAACTTTTCTAACGACACAGAGAGAGAGATGGGAAAAAAGAGGATATTCTTTAGACAATTAAACTCGATCAAGAAACACAGTAGTGCCTTACGCCAAGTTCAGCGTAACGAAGTGCGCCCGAACGGCGTGAAATAAACCGTGTTTTTTTTACGAGAAACTGTGAGTTGAAACGAGGTGAGGTATTCATATCTCAGAAATGGTTGAGCTAATCGAGGTCTTTTTAGTCCCAATCGATTCGACCTTAAAGAAACAGGAAGAAAAGTGTTCTTGCATTTTTGTGTAAGTTATCTCCAAACGGAGATATTTTAAAGTAAAATCCGAATTACAGAAAATTTCGATTCAGTAAGAATATAAGAAACGTTAGACATACAGGAAAGGGAAAACGTGCATCTCGCTTTTTCGGCACCAGAAACGTTATGAACGCGCTGAAGAAGGCAGGCAGCAGCGAGTGCAAGTGAGCGAGCGAAAGAAAGTGAGAGAGATAAGAATATGCTAAAACACAGGAACCCTGTATACGCAACTTTACGTATGCACGTTGCGAACGGTAAAAATGCGCATACGTTTCTGACACGGTATTCTTGAACTTAATTGTGTAGTATTCGCAACTAGAAACATATACGCTTTCTGTTGCGTTTAAGGCAGGATACCACCTTTGACTGCGATTTTGGAGGCGTTTTTCATGAACTTCTTTTTTGCATACAAAGAGTGCGCAGAAACAAAATCGGTTTTAGTCATTCATTAATGTAACTTTAATCTGTAATTACACATTTTTTGAAACTGAAAAAGTCAAAAATAATCTCTTGTAGGTGGTGCCAAAATACATTCCTTTGGAGGAACACCGTTAGACGGTGTGTCAAATTCCGCTCTGTACATGGCTCCTAGAAAAAAAACCAAAGAATGTTCCTATTAACAACAATATTTTTTAATGCTGTACGTAGGGGTTTTACGAAATTTCGATTTTTAAGAAAATGGCGGTCATTTTAACAAAAAGGTCAATTTCTTAGGGTAAAAAAGTTTATAAAATTGTGCACCAAAAAAAAAATAACGCTGCAGCAAAAGTCCTACGTACATCATTAGATTATATCACGGGAAAGAATTGTGCAAAGTTTCAAGTCAATCCGCTGTAAAGTGTAAGAGTAATCTGACACGCCGATTTGAAAAACATCGTTTCGAGAAAAACGAGTTTAAAGTTTTATATAGATATAACTAGTAAATATTTTCAACTAACCGTCAATCTGCAATGCCTGCGCCATACAATACTCCTTCAGCATCTATATCCTCTTCATTGGTAAGCTTGCGAGCAGAAATACCACTTCTTCTAGCCTCTCGAACGGCTTCAGTCATCGAATCTTCCGCTCTCTGAATGCGACAATTATCGGCTTGTACACAAAAAGTATAGCAACTTTGACTTATAGGCAGGTTCAAAGTTTGCATAATGTTTCCATAATGCTGTGTAACCCATCGTTAAAATTACATACTGCAATACCAGCAGCAATGTCAACGATTTTTTTGCCACTGGACATAGATTTAGGAGCGAGAGCCTACAGAACAGAATTGAAGCACTTGTTGCTGTTCTGCGTAAATCCACCCAAGCACCGAGATAATAGTTCATCGCGACTCAATTCTTCATAAATGGGTTTAACAGCATTGAAAACTTCATCTTTCATTGCTGGTTTGTGTTGATAATTGTCGAGTTCGTTGCGAGCTTTAGCCTGTTTCCATGAGCACCAGGAATTTCTCCATCTGGACATCTATCGTGCTGTGGGTTGTCGTCCGTAGAAATCTTATGATAAAGCGTGGCCCATATTTCTTTCTTCATGTTTACAATTGAATCATGATTCCTGCGTATTGCTAGACCAAAATATAGTGATAGATCGTCAATTAATTTTCCAGTTAGCTTGCCTCTGCCACCAATACCTCGTACATTTTTTTTTAAATTCCGAAGTCGCGTTCCCATCCTTTCTTGAACGTGGTCGATACATTCTTTTTTCTTAACGTCCAAATTTTCATATGGTTTCGAGTCTAAAATACCTTTATATGTTTTACTGTCTCCATCCCCTATGTAGTGACTATATTTCAAACTATGGAATTCGTCTGATCGTTGAAATATTTCAATAATTGCGTCAACCTCCATTTTTCCAGCCGATCCCTCGTGATTTTTTTGACAGCTATCTTCGTGTGTCGCAGCCCATTCTTCGTATTCTGCCGTTCCTTCTTTTCGTTTCCAGTCATTGCATTGATTATATATTTTCGAGTTTACATTAACATCAATGACTTTCCCGGTGCACCATCTTATCAATGATGTAATACCTAATAAAGACGAGAATCCCCTCTTCTTACACGTAACGTCGCCTGAAACTACTATCCCTTCTGTAAGTCCCTTCTGTACTGACAATTCTTTCTCTTTAGCAGCTGCGTTCTTCATTGATTTCTCTCGTACGGCTGCGGTAGCAATAGAAATAGTCGAAACGATTTTGTCATAAAATGACTGAAATACTGGATGTGGTAGACATATGAATGAACAAAATTTTTTAATTCCATTTACACCAACACCGAGCAATCGCATAACAAAAACTATACGACGATTTATATCGTATGCATGATTATTTATGACGGGACACGACTTTATATATTTTGGTGAGCATTGTTCACAAAGAATTGCAATTTTGAAACCCAGTCCTCGAATACTTGCTTCTTGAAATTTTACGGGAGATTTACACACTTTGCACACTAGAAATTTAGACATTGCTGCAAAAACAGTCACAAAATCGATGAAACGATAACCAATAGTTGCGTCCACATTGATATGATATTCACCTTCACTCTGTTTCAGTTTCTTTGCCGATGTACTGACACTCTCACTTTCTCCTTCTAACACGTATCGATTCTGTGGCTTCTTTTTGCTGTTTCTCGGTTTCGAGACACGCCTATTTTCTGCTTTTGTCTCCTCTACTTTTGTCTTCCCCATGATGAACAATGCATAAACATTCGAAAGAAACACGTGAAAGACGTTACACAACCACACGTTACAACAAGCAACACGTGAATGATGTTTACACGACCAATTCGTTATGAACTATATAAAATATAGAAGTATTTATGTTATATTATACTGAAAATCCTAACTAGCGACATTTCTACTATCACTATTTCACTATTTGGAACTAAAAGGGCCCGTAATGTGGTTGGTAAATTGTGTATGAGACAGACAGTGTGCGCGCGCTCGGCAGCCCGAGAAACGCTCCGAGAGCGCTCTGCTCCAAACCGATTTTTACACAAGAAAAAGGTTTCGGCCACCTTTCTAATGAATGAATTTCGATTCTATACACTTGAAAGAATATTTTAAGAACAAAACAAATTTTCAATTTTTTTAAAGTGCAAAGGTGGTATTCTGCCTTAATTACGTTTGACAACATTGGAAAATATATGTACTTTCTGCAAATATTGACCAAAAATACTGTTACGTCCTGCTGACTCAGCGGACCCTAGGCTTCTTTTATAAATAAGGGAAATCGAATTTATTATTACTTATCATATGGCCGAATGCACTCAGGCATAATACTACACGACGATATCTCTGGAATTTTCGATACCCCGAAAATACTAACAATCTTGAACCAACTCCTATCCTGTTTCCCACGCGCTTAATCATTGATAACAGTACCACGACATCGTTCTTAGAAATATCGATATTTACTTCTTAAAATAGCTGCCACGCTTTTTTATTTACAAAAGACTTTCGAAATCCTCTTATTGCCACATGCATCTTATCTCCTATAAAATAATCTTCTGGAACATTTCCCCCAAAACCCCACTCTCTCAACCGAGCTGACTTTTTGAGAAAAGTCAAAAGCCTCACTCACTTCTCGCCGATCCAGCATCCAGGACAGACGCTTCTCTCCAGCACCCCTTCAGGGTTTCTTAACAATCTAGCCAACTTGTGGCTTAGACCGACCAGTATTCTTCACTTGTTAATTATTCGGTGCAACGATCTTGTGCCTTCTTGGGCCATTGAGAGCGATCCTGCCGAAACCAGCTGCCTGTCCTTGGCGCAGAATTTGAGGCATCTATCCTCACAGAGACGCAGCAACCACACCTTTCATTGTCTACTAAGATCGGAGAAGTCCAGCAGTAATTATTTATATTTTCTTTTACCTGAGTGACCTCTTTCGTTTCATTTTTTATCTTTCTTCTCTCTCTTTTCTTTTCCTTACGTTTTACTTCCGTTTTCTATCCCCCTTGGCATTCCTCCTTAATTGTAAAATCCGGTATCAGTGGCCCAA